AAAGACTGACTCCAATATATCCAAAGAAAATAAGCAAGTTTGGTAATAATTGGTTGAGATTACTTCTTTACAATATGTCAGCAATAATTGAGACATCTCGCGAGTACTTTGCAATTAATGAAGTGTTTTCGAAGTGTAGTCATTGTTGCAATAAACACGCCAATCAATTTGTGCACAGCAATTCCACACAATTAGCAATGTGATAATGGGTCAGAATGAATTATTTTAGTGGCATTGGTTGAGGGATAAATATTGTCCAGGTCACCTCTGGCTTTTCAGGTGAGCTCTTTTACTGAATGGGCTGGCTAGGCCCTGGTTTAATGTCTCATCCTGAAGATGGCGCTGTGACAGTGCAACACTCCCTGAGTATTGCATTGAAATAGCAGCCTAGATGACACGCTCAAATCTCAACCATTAAATGAACAAAATGGAGTGAACTATATTTCAGAAAAAAAGAAAGCAAGCAAGTTTGGTGTAATTGGTGGAGATTACTTCTTTGTGATATGTGAGCAATAATTGAGACATCTTGCAAGCGTGTCCAGCAACAAATGTGCTGGGTTAAATAAATTTACAGCTTTATCAGAAACTATACAAAGCTGAGAAAGCAAGAACTGCAGATGCTGGAGTCAGAGGTAACACAGTGTGGAGCTGGAGGAACACAGCAGGCCAGGCAGCATGAGAGGAACAGGAAAGTTGACATTTCGGGTCAGGACCCTTCTTCAGAAATGGGGAGGGGGGAAGGGAGCTGGGAAATAAATACAGAGAGGAGGGGTGGGGCTGGACAATGTAGGTGGGATGGTGATAGATGAGTGCAGGTAGGGAGCAGTGGGGATTGGTCAGTGGGATGGGTGGGGCAGATAGGTGGGAGAGAAGATGGACAGATTGTGTCAGGTCAAGGAAGGTACACCAAGTTGGCAGATGTCTGATATGAAAGGTATGCTTGGTCTACTGTATCCACTGCTCCCGATGTGGCCTCCTCTCCGTAGACTCAGAGGCCATTTTGTAGAGCACTTGCGCTCTGTTCTCAACAAACGACAACACCTTCCAGTCGCCAATCATTTTAACTCCCCCTCTCACTCATGTCCATCCTGGGCCTCCTCCTGTACCACAATGACCCCACCCGCAAACTGGAGGAGCAACACCTCATATTACGCCTCAGGAGCTGACAGCCCGATGGCCTAAACATGGGATTCACCAGTTTTAAAATCTCCCTACCCCAGCCTCATCCCATGTCCAAACCTCCCTCTCACCTTCGCCTCCTTGACCTGGCACAACCTGTCCATCTTCTGTCCCACCTATCCGCCCCTCCTACCTCACTAACCAATCCCCACCACTCCCTACCTGCACTCACCTATCACCATCCCACCCACCTTCCCCAGCTACACTCCTCCTCTCTATGTTTATTTTCCAGCTCCCTTTCCCCTCTCCCATTTCTGAAGAAGGGTCCCGACCTGAAACGTCAACTTTCCTGCTCCTCTGATGCTGTCTGGTCTGCTGTGTTCCTCCAGCTCCAAACTATACAAAGCACTTGCTCTTACATAGCATTTTATGTATGATAAAATCAACTCAAAGGGCCTCACAACAATTCAACTATGTAGCAATTTGTAATTACATACAATGCTTGGCAATCTCTGTTTCTCTTCAAATAGTCATATTAGTAACTATGTAATTAGGCAGACAGCCTCAGTTTCACTTCTGATTCTGATGTACTTAGGTATTGAAGTTGGGCTTGAACGTACATTCTGACTCAGGAGAGAGTGATAATGGTTGAGTCAAACAGGCCAGAGAAAAATCTATTATTTGTTTATGATATAATGATGTTAGCAACAGGAGGGAACCCCCTGCAAATTTCCATAACTTTGATCTGAGCTAAAAAATAAATATTTACATTGTCAACATAAATTGTGGTCTGAAAATTAAGTCAATGCACCCGAGAAAATGTGTAACAGCTGTATGTCATGTATACACGCACTCAATCTTTGATCCAAAATGCTACTTACTTCATTATGTTAAAATTGGAAAGGTGCAAGCTCACATTTTGAACATGCTTATAGGATAATTAGCAAGGCATTCAAGGATGCAAGCAACTCAATTCGCATGATATTAAATCTTAGATAAACTGAATTTAGAACTGGAACATATCAGTTCACAAACCTGTTACCATTCCCATGGTAACTGTCAGTGGTATTGCAGCTGTTCTCTGCATTTGCCTGCAGCAACATCAAAGCAGTAGCCCTGTTGCAAACCAGTTCCATTCTGAATGTAGGTTCACTAGTCAATTTGTACACAGGTCTGAATACAATGCAGGACAATGTAGAGCAGTTGTTTTATAAGTATGAGAAATTTTCATACATCGCGTCTTTAAAATTACACTCCTGTTTGGCATCATGTTCGTAAATACAAGCATTCATAATTCAGAAGTTCGTAAATTGGGCATTCTCTGTACTTTGTAAATCCAGAAAGCTATTCCAGTAAAACTTATAAAGAGATTGTTACTTCAGATTTAGTTAAGTTACCTATGTCAGAAGGTGAATTTTGATTTGGGGGAAATTGTTCCTTCTGAGTTTTTCAGTTGATCTGTTTAGAAGTACCATTTTACAAGGCATTAATTAACAGCTAAGAGATTGTTCCACGTACCCTTCCCCCTTGGAGTCCTTGGTTACCTTTGGCACCCTTGAAGCCAAACAATCCTGCAGCACCCTGAAACACAAGGCAATAACACTAAAAATAAATCAATTTCTGGTCAACCAGGGATCAACAATAATTAGAATTTATACAGCACCTTTCACATAGAAAAACACCCCAAAATGCTTCACAGGAGCATAATCAAATTAAAATTTGACACTGAATCACCAGGACATACTAGGGCAACTTACTAAAATAATAGCTCAGATTTTAAGGAGCATCCTAAAAAATAAAACAGACTGAATCTTAGGGACCGGATTTAGCAGCTTAAGAACTTGGCACAAATGGCGGAATAATTAAGATCAGACATCTTTGAGGTAGGGAGTTTACAGAAAGCGAGAAGGGGAAGAACATGGAGGAATTTGAAAATAAGGATCAGAATTTTAAAATGGTAGCTTTGCTGGATCAGGAGCCAATGTACTCAGTGGGTGATGGGTGAACCAGACTTGGTGCCAGGTAGGACAGGAGCAGCAGAGTTTTCAATGATGTGAAGTTTACAGAGGGTTAAAATTGAGACGCTGTCCAGGGATGTTATGGAATGGGTAGTTTAAATACAACAAGGGCATGTGTTAGGATTTCAGTAGCAGATGAGCTGCAGCAGAGTAAAATTTTGAGTCGTTAAGGTGGTGAAGACAGGCCATCATAATAATAGTGTATCCATAGGATCGCAAAGTCACCTTGAATGCAAATGTGACACCAAGCTTGGGAATGTTCTGGGTTATTCTCATACAACTGCCAGGCTGAGGGATGGAGTCAGTGGGTATGGATCAGAGATTGTGCCAGGCAGCAAAAATAATGGCTTCAGTCTCCCTAATTTTTGGTCAGAGTGAATTTCTGTTCATCCAGAGTTGGATGTCAGATGAGCAGTCTAATAAATATGGTGCTGGTGGAGGAGTGACATGGGAGTCATCAGCATACAGGTGGAAACTGATGCCATGTTTTCAGCTGATGGCATTAACCCAACATTTAGAGGAGAAATAGGAGGGCACCAATGGTAGATGCTTGGGGCACTCTACAGGTAACAGCACAAGAATGAGAAGAGAAGCTATTGCAGATGATTCTCTTACAAAGAATGGAACCAAGTAAGGGAAGTTCTTCCCACCTGACCAATAGAGGTGTAGCATTGGAAATGGTCAATGTTTTAAAAGGTAACTCTAGAGGGATGTAGTGGGATAGTATATCACAATCAGTCACAAAGACTGTCAACTGTGACTTTGATGAGGACCAACTTCCATACTGTGAAAAGGCTGGACACCTGATTAGAGAGGTTCAAAGATGAAATTGCTGGTAAAAGGATCTAGGGAGTAGGTGGTGGGTTTCATAGACATCATAAGTTCAAGGAAACAAGAGAGGAGATAGTTTTGAGTGCAGAAAAAGATGCTCATGCAACAAGGAACAATAGGAGAAGATTATCCTGGTGGGTTGTGGTAAGGGAGAGAAGCAACAAAGGCATGAGCTAAGAATGAACAGCTGACTTTGACCCCTGTGAAAATATCCATGAGCCCCTCACATAGAATCTACAAAAAATGTACAACAAAACTGGAGTAAAGTATAGGAGAATTGAAATCCAGGCTCTCCATTTGGTATAAATCCAAGAATTTTTCAGACAACATTCAATGCTGCTTAGAGTTACAGGGTGTGATAACGTAGCCCTGCTTAATCACTTCCAACACTGCAATACTATTGTTTCAGAGATAGTAGGAAATGCAGATGCTGGAGAATCTGAGATAACAAGGTGTTGAGCTGGATGAACACAGCAGGCCAAGCAGCATCAGAGGAGCAGGAAAGCTGACATTTCGGGCCTAGACCCTTCTTCAGAAATGGGGGAGGGGAAGGGGGTTCTGAAATAAATAGGGAGAGAGGGGGAGGCGGAGGCTTGGGGACTGCTTTGCGGAACACCTACACTCGGTTCGCACTAAACAACTGCACCTCCCAGTCGCAAACCATTTCAACTCCCCCTCCCATTCCTCAGACGACATGTCCATCCTGGGTCTCCTGCAGTCCCACAACGATGCCACCCAAAGGTTGCAGGAACAGCACCTCATATTCCGCTTGGGAACCCTGCAACCCAATGGTATCAATGTGGACTTCACAAGCTTCAAAATCTCCCCTCCCCCTACCGCATCCCAAAACCAGCCCAGCTCGTCCCCGCCTCCCTAACCTGTCCTTCCTCCCACCTATCCCCTCCTCCCACCTCAAGCCCCACCCCTATCTCCTACCTACTAGCCTCATCCCGCCCCCTTGACCTGTCCGTCCTCCCTGGACTGACCTATCCCCTCCCTAACTCCCCACCTACACTCACCTTTACTGGCTCCATCCTCGCCTCTTTGACCTGTCTGTCTTCTCTCCACCTATCTTCTCCTCTAACCATCTTCTATCCACCTCCCCCTCTCTCCCTATTTATTTCAGAACCTCCTTCCCCTCCCCCATTTCTGAAGAAGGGACTAGGCCCGAAACATCAGCCTTCCTGCTCCTCTGATGCTGTTCGGCCTGCTGTGTTCATCCAGCTCTACCCTTGTTATCTCTGCATTACTATTGTCTAGTTGGGTGGAACTGCCTACACCTGTCCATCTCTCCCTCTTTTAAGATGTTTCTTAAAAATGTTGATCTCTAACCAAGCTTTTACTCACCTGTCTAGTTAGTTCTTTATATGACTTGGTGGCAGGTTTTCTCTGATTGTGAAGCACCTTGATAAGTTTTATTCTGATAAAGGTGTAATTTAAATGCAAATTGTCACTATTCTGCAAATTTTCCATCAGTTGGGCCAATGGCAATTGACAGAAACTGCAGCTTATGTTTTTAATGACAGGCCTGTCAGTTTAATAGTAACTTTTTGCTTGGGATCTTAATAGTATTGAAGGGAACTGAGAGAAGAGCAGTGCACTACTGGCTACAGAGTGAAAATTTAGAAGTTACAGACTAAGGCAGATTGAGTGTGCTCTTGAACAGAGTCCTAGGAGTCAGATGAGTAAGGGGAATCTTAATTTCTTTATTTTTTAATTATCTTTGTATTTCACATTTAACTGAAATTTGCTAATAAAATTCTAAATTACATCCAGGCTTAAGCAAAGGTATGCAGGCCCTTCACCGAAGACCAGTTAGGTTAGCTAATTAAGGAAATTGGCTTAAACATTTTCTTTCTATACTTGGGGCTGAACTAACTTTGAGCATATGAGTACAGGGCCATCAGTGCGACTTAGCACTGAAGATAACTTTAAACACTGTGCTGAGAGTTGGGAAAGAGATTTAGGGGAAGAAGGTGCTTTTTTCATAATTAGTTTTCTCTATAAGAATTGGCTGTTGCTCTACTGTAGATGAAGAATCGAGCTGCTTATGAGTATCTGGCAAGAGGTTATTGCCTATTCTGTTTCTAAAATTTAAAGTTGTTCAGGAAAGGTTAATTGAATAAAAATAGAAGTAATTGATTGTAGGAAATTAAAAGTGCCAAGACAGGTAATATATCGTGGCTGCAGCATGGTACAGCTTATGAGTGCCAGTATGTTCCAGCTCTGCAGTTAAGTGGTTCAAAGAACTCAGCTCAGGACCATTGAGTTGAAAGACAAGCTGTAGATCATCAACATATGCAATACATCAGGGTGTGGGGGTTATCTAGGTATTTTGCACCAGGAGGTGGTCACACTCCTTAGGGTAGGATCTTCTGATTTGATCAGTGGCTGGTAATGAGGCATTGTGTCTGCAGCTAAAGGGAACCAGAGGGCAGGAGTGCAGTAACCTCAGCCTTTGTAACTGCTCAACAGGTTTAAGGTTCTTTCAGCTTGTTGGGATGAGAATGAGAGCTGTGGGCTGAATAGTTAACCATCCATGGTACCACAGCAAAGAAAGCCATTTAGGTGGAAGAGAGCAAGAAGAAATATCATTGACTAGACGTTAATACAGTGTTGACACTGTTCTCTGCAGCAAAGAGTTGAGGCTGTATTGCCACTGCCAGTGTTCACGACATCTGCTTAGGGCAGGACAGAAACTTGTAACGGAAGGGTTAGGATTAAACTATTGTGGTCCATCAAGGCACCAACAACAAAATAAGAAGTTTTGAAAAAGCAAGAAATTAAGAAACAAAACTCTAAAGTAATGATCTCTGGATTTTTACCTCAGCCACATGCGATTTGGCATTAGGCAAATAGGATTAGATAAATAAATGCATGACTCCAAGACTGAAATGGTAGAAGTGGGTTCAACATCATGAGGCATTGGTAATGGGGCTGGGAAAGTAGGAATTGTACTGTTGCAATGCCCTACCCTTGAACCTTGCTGGGATCAGTATTCTAATGAGGCACTTATGAGGAAAATATAAAGGGTTTTAAATTAAAAAGTGGGAGGGAAGGATCAAATTTTGAAAGATGTGTTAAATCAAAGCAACTCCTGTCCTAATTGGATCCTTAGGCGTCTTCACAGGATGGATGCAGGGAGGCTGTTGTCCCTTATGACTCAGTCTAGGACGAGAAATGATATATTCAGAGTAAAGGGTCACCCAGTCAGAACAGAGATGAGGATAAATTTCTTCCATTAGAGGGTAATCTGTAGAATTTTTTGCCACAAAGGGCTGTAAAGGCTGGGTCATTACATATATTCAAGATTGAGATAGACAAATTTTGAGTTAGTAAGGGAACCAAGGGTAATAGAGAAAAGGCAAGAAAGAGAAGTTGAAGATTATGAGATCAGCCTCATGGCCTAGTTCTGCTTGTATGTCTCAGTCTTATAATCTTAAAAGCACATTGTAATGGGAACCAGACAGCAGGCAGTACTAGACTGATACATTGTGATGATTGGAGAAAATAGAGGTAAAATTTCAGGTCTGATATGAGTCTTCTTCTGAAGAAGGGTCTAGGCCCGAAACATCAGCTTTCCTGCTCCTCCGATGCTGTTCGGCCTGCTGTGTTCATCCAGCTCTACACCTTCTTATGAGTTGACTAGTTGACTAGTTAAGAACTACTGTCTAGTTCTGAAGAAGACTCATGCTGGACTCGAAATGTTAACTCTGTTTCTCTCTCCACAGATGCTGTCAGACCTGTTGAGTTTCTCCAGCATTCTCTATTATTTCAGCTTCCCAGCATCCACAGTATTTTGCTTTTATTCAAGTGAGATAGTTGATACATTGGTCTTAATTTTTCAAAATTTACTTGATTCAGAGAAGGCTCTATTGCTTACAAAGTAAGAAAATGGAACATTTTATTAAAAGAAGGGAGATAGAAAACAGAAATCTTCAGCACAAATACCTTAACATCTATTAAAGGTAAAATGTTAGATGTCTTAATTGAAGAAGTTACAGCATTTTGAATTGGCATTTAGAAAAACTGTAAAGTAATCAGACGTATCAGACATGATTTTGTCAAAGGGAAATAATGTTTGACTAATTTTATTGGAGTTCTTGGAAGAAGTAACAAGTGATATGGATAAAGGGGCACTGTGGATGTAACATACTAGGATTTCCAGAAGACATTTAATAAGGTGTCATATCAAAGGGTTATTATGGAACATAAAAGCTCACAGTATCAGTAGCAACGTATTGGCCTGGATAGAAGATAGTCTCGCTAACAGAAAATAGACAGTAGGCATAAATGGATCTTTTTTTCCCTCTGGTTGTCATGACATAACATGTGGTGTGCCACCGAGATCAGTCCTCTGCGCTCGACCTTTTACAATTTATATAAATGACTTTGTTGAAGGGAACCAAAGATAGTATGTAAAGATAACTTACTGATGACACCAAGATATTTAAGAAAGTAAAGCTGTAAAGAAGTTACAAAGGCATATAATTGGATTAATCGAATGGGCAAAAATTTAGCAAATGGAGTATAATGTGGGGAAATGTGTAGTTGTCCATTCTGGACAACTGCCCATTTTGAGGTTGGACAAGCTAAGTTTGTATCCCTTTGAGTTGAGAGCAGTAAGAGATGGGCGGATTGATCTGCGACATGCTGAGGGGTCTTGACAGCTAGATGTAGAAAGAAGATTTCCTCTTGTGGAAGAACCTAGAGCTAGAGGGAACTGTTTAAAAATATGGGGGTTGTCCATTTAAGACAAAGATGAGGATAACGCTTTTTACATAGAGTGCTGAGAGCATTTGGAACACTTCCACAAAAGGTGATGGAAGCAGTGTTTGAATATTGTTAAGGCAGAAGTAGATAGATTCTTGTTTAGCAAGTGGGTGAAAGGTAATTTGGAATGACGAGTCATCTGATCAGTTTTAATCTTAGTGAATGACAGAGCGAGCTCAAGTGGCCAATTCCTGCTTCTAATTCATATGTTCATGCATCAGTATGTTCATAAAAGTTGTAAATATGCACTTTATCATGACAACGTCTGTTGTTAACTAATGTCTTCTGGCAGATCCTTTCAGTGAGGGATTGCCAACTGCTACTATATCAAGAAATCTTTGTCCAAAACCAACAAAACACTGTTTTCTGGGACAACATTGCCTCAGAAGTCAAATTAGAGTCAACACAGCATTGCCATTTTAAAAGATATGAATTACATCTGTTCTTTCTGTTTCTTTTTCTTTCTTTCCATAACTTTCCGCATCCATCCAAAAAAAATTACTGAATCTTAAGTACTTTGACCAAAAACTTAACTAATGATCTGAAAAGGAAGTTAGTATTCGGGATGAGCTGTAAATAAATTTCATGCAATGATTTATTCCTGATTAACACAAAATTGTTTTCCAAAACTTGGGAATCTCAGGCTTGGCAGGAAAGGATCAGACAGTAGAAACTGCGATTCGTTTAAAGCAAAATACTGTGGATGCTAGAAATCTGAAACAAATGCAGGAGAAACTCAGCAGTTCTGGCAGCATCTGTGAAGAGAGAAACAGAGTTAACATTTCAAACCCAGTATGCCTCTTCTTTACTGACTGACTCTTAAGTACTTTGACAGTCAAGGTCACCAGTGATCTCCAAACAAAATAGGTCTTCTGAATGAGCTGTAAATAAATATGACTTTTCAATAAGTATCATTCTTCTTTCAGTTCTGAAGAATTATACTGGACTCAAAATGTTAACTCTATTTTTCTCTTCAGACGCTGCCAGACCTGCTGAGTTTCTCCAGCATTCTTTGTGTTTGTTTGAAACTGGGATCAGGTTAGATGCAAAAATGTCACAATTACAACTCCCCTTCCAGCCCAAAGATGTGACAACTTTTCCCGTCTATGGCCTCCACTTATATTAGTCAGATACTTACTGGATAACACCCATGCCATTGAGTTACAAGGTTGTGGGTTCAAGTCCCACTCCAGAAACTAAAGCATGAATATCTAGGCTAACAATTCAAACAGGAGAGAGGGCTGCTGCCCTTGTAGATGCTGCTCCATCTGTCCTCTCAGGTGGATGTGAACGTTCTCATTCCCTTCTTCAAAAGCAGGGATAGGTTCTTGCTCAATACTTATCCTTTGACAAATGTGACTGAAACAGTGTATCCAGCCGTTTACCTTTGTGCAAATTGGCTGTGACATCTGTACTTTCTTTGTTATGTTTTGTGGTGTCCTCATGTGGTAAAAAGTGTTATAATATGTAAGTCCTTTACTTTCTAGATAAGAAATAATTATTTCACGTATCATACTCAGGCCATTCACTACAATGTATCAATGTACTCTTACTCTCAAACATGCAATCTCAAAGAGGGAAAAATGTACTCAATGTAATCAAGGATAGGTTAAAAACCTATTGCCAAACTCTTGACAGTAACTAAGCCTCATTAACCCATTAATCCTACAAATCCCAGCTCTCCAGAAACTTGCTTTCTATGACTTGAAATACCTCAGGAACGAATCCTCAACTTTTGAGAAACACAACTTTGAATCTAAAGCCACTAGATGATACAGTAATATATTAACACATTAAAACTCTTACTAACCGGAATCCCTGGTAATCCTCGCTCTCCTTTTACTCCTTCCAGTCCAACAGTTCCTGCAGATCCCTGGAAAATAATTAAAGGTGCATAATATGTGAAGAAAACCAGTCAAATCTAACCTATAAGTTACAGTTCAGGTGGGGAAATTTTAATTTCTGACATGTTGGAAATCATCACACAGTGTCAAATCAGACACTACTCCTCAGTCTCCTGACTTTTCCTGTATCAATATTGTCCATTATCAATAAAAAATTAATACTGTACCACCTATAAACCAAAACTAAAAATAACTGACCGGAAATTCAGTGGCATCAATATCAGAACTAACAAATGAGTTAATAAATAGAAGCTGTATTTAAAATTTTCACTACCAGTTTGGATACTCCTGTCTTCTGTTTATGAATATTTTCAAGATTTGAGTCAGGAACAATAGTTTTTACATTGAAATATTGCAAACTAAATGGTACAATTCTAAACAGAAGTGCAGTAACAGAGAGATAAATCTTTCGAAGGAAACAAGACAATTCATAAAGCTGTTTAAAAAGAAACGTATGGAACCATCAACTTTCTAAATGGAGACATAGGAGAGGATCTATGGGCTCTGCCAAGGTCAAGAAAAAAGGCAAAGAGGATCCAAAAATACTTGCACTAGCCAAAGTACCAGCTAACGTGCCTGTTTCCTGACCCCATTCTCCGTGTAAGTCCTTTTGATCGAGGGAAGTTCCGAGCTCACAGGGCTGCCAACCTCAGTTCTAAAACCTTTGTTAATAGGTGGGTAATAAAAGCTGACTGGGATCTTCTGGTTGGTCTAAAGTTTCCCAACACAGTGGCACACACTCAGCAGCAGATCTCTGTTCCTGGCTGGGTGCAGGTCCAACCAAAGGCTACCTTGTCTAGAATTCCATTGTGCACTGTTTCAAGGCCCTCCCCACACCCCCACCCCCGCCAATATCCGCCCCCCACCCACCCCCACCCCGCCCCTCCCCACCACACACACTCTGCCCAATTCCATTTTGTCCACCCCCAAGATTACAGATTTGAGGTAACTGGCAAAAGAATCAGAAGGAACATTCAAACACTAGAAATTGAAATGATCTGAAATGCATTGTCTAAAAGGGCAGCATGATGGCTCAGTGGTTAGCGCTGCTGCCAGGGTCCCAGGTTCGATTCCAGCCTTGGGTGACTGTGCAAATTCCACACAGACATTCTCCCTATGTCTGTGTGGGTTTCCTCTGGGTGCTCTGGTTTCTTCCCACAGTCCATAGCTGTGCAGGTTAGGTGGATTGGCCATGCTAAATTGCCCATTGTGTCCAGGGACGTGTAGATTAAGTGAATTAGCCATGGAAAATGCAGGGTTACAGGGTAAGAGTAAGGTAAGGGGTGTCTGAACAGGATGCTCTACAGTGGGTCAGCGTAGACTGGACGGATCGAGTGGTCTGCATCTACACTGTAGGGATTCCATGATTGATTGATTCTATGAAGGTTGTTTGAAACAGATTTGATAGAAATTTTCATATTCAGGTGAAAAATGCAGGGCCATGAGGATTTCTGTTTTACGAAAATACTCTAGATCTTTGCTTGTGCAGTTAAAATTAACAGCCAGAGGGTACTGCGTCTTTTGTGAAAATATGCTGATTATCCTTTTGCTTAAGCCAATGAGAAAGAAAATTAAGGGGGAAGTCAGATTGCAGGAAAAAGACATGCCTCAAATCTAATGTGAAACAATCTGACCATAATACAAAGTCAACACCTTACTTCACCAGTGCTTTGCTTCAGTGTACTATTTTATTATTTTTTTCTTTATTCCTTGACGGGATGAGGGTGTCGCTGGCTGGACAGCATTTATTGCCCATCCCTAATTGCCCAGAGGGCAGTTGAGAGTCAACCACATTGCTGCGGGTCTAGAGTCACATATAGGCCAGACCAGGTAAGGATGGCAGTTTCCTTCCCTAAAGGGCATTAGTGAACCAGATGGGTTTTTCCAACAATTGACAATGGATTCATAATCATCATTAGATTCTTAATTCCAGATATTTATTGAATTCAAATTCCACCACCTACTGTGGCAGGATTTGAACCCAGGTCCCAAGAACATTAGAGACAACAAGGTGCAGGGCTGGATGAACACAGCAGGCCAAGCAGCATCATAGGAGCAGAGAGGCTGACGTTTCGGGCCTAGACCCTTCATCAGAAAAGGGGGAGGGG